CTGTGCAGAAGCTTTTGAGTTTGATGTAGTCCCACGTATTCATTTTTTCCTTTGTTTTTCTTGCCTTAGGCATTGTATCAGTGAAAATTCTGCTGCATGTGATGTCTGAAATTTTTTTTGTGTGTGTGGTACATGCCCCTAGCAGGAACCGAACCCGGGACTCTCTGGTCCACAGGCCAACGCTCAACTGCTGAGCCAAACTGGCCAGGGCTGTCTGAAATTTTTTTGCCTACATTTTCTTCTAGGATTTTTATGGACTCGTGATTACATTTAAGTCTTTCATCCTTTTTTTTTTGCATTTATCTTCAGATAAAGTGGGATGGGGAGAGGGAGGAAGAGAGAGAGAGAAACATCTATGTGAGAGAGACACATCAAGTGGTTGCCACCCACACGACCCCAACAGGACAGGGGACAAACTGCAACCGAGGTACATGCCCTCAGCGGGAACCAAACCGGGACTCTGTGGTCCGCGGGCCGACGCTCTAACTGCGGAGCCAAACCGGCCCAGGCATGGGTCATGTTTTCTTATCCAATCAGCTTTTTGCCTTTTGATTGGAGTATTTAGCTATTTACATTTAAGGTTATTATTGATAGATACTTATTAGTTGCCATTTTTGTGTTATACCTGTGTTTCCCCCCCACCCCTTCTCTTTCTTCTTCTTCTTCTTACAAGAATCCCTTCAGCATTTCTTGCATTGCTGGTTTGGTGGTGGTAAATTCCTTTAACTTTTTTTTGTCTGTGAACCTCTTTACTTCTCCTTCAATTTTGAATGATAGCCTTGCCGGATAGAGTAGTCTTGGATTCAGACCTGTGCTTTGCATTACTTTGTACACTTCATGCCACTCCCTTCTGGCCTGCAGTGTTTCTGTTGAGAAATCAGCTGACAGTCTAATGCGAGCTCCCTTATAGGTAACTTTCTGTCTCTCTCTTGTGTCTTTTAAGATTTTTTCTTTGTCTTTAATGTTTGCCATTTTATTATGATGTGTCTAGCTGTGGGTGTTTTGGGGGTCATCTTGCTTGGGACTCTGTGTTTCCTGGACTTGTGTGACTTTTCCCTTCACCAGTTTAGGGAAGCTTTCTGTCATTATTTTTTCAAACAGTTTCTCTATTCCTTTCTCTGATTCTTCTCCTTCTGGTACCCCTATAATGTGAATGTTGATACATTTTGTATTGTCCCAAATCTCCCTTAAACTCTTCTTCTGCTCTATTTGGGTGTGTTTTTTTCCTATTTTGTCTTCTAACTCATTGATTCAGTCTTCAGCTTCTTCTAATCTACTATTTAATTCTTCTAAGGTATTTTTCGTAACAGCTATATCATTCTTTATTTCCTCTTGATTTTTATTTATAGCTTCTACCTCTTTTTTTAAGCTTATATAGTTCCCACTGAGTTCTTCATAATTCTTATTAAGTTGCTTGTAGTTCTCACTAAATTATTTGAGCACCCTTAAAACCATTGCTTGAATTCTTTATCTGACAAATTGCTTTCTTCCATTTTCTGTAGTTTCTTTTCTGGTGAGTCCTCCTTTTCTTTCATTTGGGTGTTGTTTGTCTCACCATTTTAGCTATCTGGTAGTTCCAGGCCCGGTGAGGGATGTTGGAATGTGTAGTCAGGTTGGTGTGTATCAAATAAGGCTGCTGTGCCTCCCAGACTGTTTTGGTGTATGGTGCCTCTTGCCTGCTGTGGGTCCTGGCAGATTGACAACTGGTGGCTGGTATTGTTCTGTTGTGCAGGTCTCGGCTCCTTGAGTCTTGTTGCTTCTTGGTCTGGACCACCACTCCTGATCAGCCTCTGCTGATGCTGTTGGGGTTGGGGCTCAGCTGCTGATCTGTGCTGCTGCTGCCTGGGGATGGATGCCCACTGCCTGGGGATGGATACCCACTCCCAAGCCTCTGCTGCTGGGGGTGTGTCTTGGCTCCTGAGCCTCAGCTGCTGTTGCGGGTGGTGCTCCACTCCTGCCCAGTCATTACTGCTGTGGGGGAAGGTTCTGGGTTCCAATAAGGCTTCTGCTGTGGGGGATGGTGCTCAGCTCCCAGCCAGTTTCGGCTACTGCAGCACTGTCCTCCTTGACACAGTGGGGTCCACTGGTCCAATGGTGCAGGGTGCTCTGGTGGTCTCAGGTCACTCGGCCCTAGTTGTTCCCTGCTTCCTCCTCTCAGAGAAGACCAGGATCTTCCAAAATGGCAGGGCCTCCAGTCGTGCAGGGAGAAGCTCACTGACGAGCTGGTTACCGTGGTAGCCAGCTGTTTTGCGTCCACAGCACAGGAACCTTCTGCCCCACATTTCTGCACTGCTCAAGGTTGGTCGGTCATCCACACTCACGTTCGCTCACATTTGCTCACACTCTCATACTCACCCTCACTTCAGTCCTGCCTGCCGCCATCTCAAGAGTTCATTTTTCTCTCTGGGCGAGGATCCCGGGGGGCGGGGGTTGCAGTCCTCAGGCTCCACTCCAGCACGGGGTGGCCACCTCCTTCTTGGGGGTCCAGGAGATTCCGGAGAAAGACATACGGCAGCCCTGGGCAATGGCAGAAGCATCTCATGGTGCATTTAAAAAAATTTGTCTTTATTGATTTTCTTAGAGAAAGGGAGAGAGAGAAGTAGAAACATCAAAGTAAGAGAAAAACATCAATCAGCTGCCTCTTGCATGCCCCTACTGGGGATCGAGCTGGCAACTCTGGCATGTACCCTGGCTGGGAATCGAACTGGGACCTCTCAGTCCATGGGATGATGCTCAATCCACTGAGCCACACCGGCTGGGCTATGGTGTATTTTGACACATGCATTTTTCATTTTAATATGGTCAAATTTTTCAGTTACTTCTTTTAGAACTTTTTGTGTTTTTAGGAAACCTTTCCCTAATCAGAAGTCAGAGACAATTTTGGTCTTTACACTAGTTGGAACTGATTTTTGAGTGTGAGGTATAAAGTAAGGTTCCATTTTAGTTTTATCCATATAGATACCCAATTGTTACATCATCATTTTTTTTTTTTTTTTTTTAATCCTCATCCAAGGACATTTTTCCATTTTTTGTACAGACAGAGTGGGAGAGAGAGAGAGGAAGAGAGAGAGAGGGAAACATCGATGTGAGAGGGACACATCGAGTGGCTGCCACCCACATGACCAACCAGGGCCGGGGACAAACTGCAACCGAGGTACATGCCCTTAGCGGGAACCGAACCCGGGTCTCTCCAGACTGCAGGTGGACGCTCTAACCGCTGAGCCAAACCGGCCAGGGCTACATCATCATATTTTGAGAAGACTATCTTTTTTCCATTTATCTAAACAGCTACCTCTGCCCTGCTGGTGTGGCTTAGTGTATTAAGCATCGTCCCATGGACTGAGAGGTCCTGGTTTGATTCCCAGTCAAGGCACATGCCCGGTTGCAGGCTCGATCTCCAGTGCAGGGTGTGCAGGAGGCAGCGATTGATTTTTCTCTCTCTCATTGATGTTTCTATCTCTCTCTCCCTTCCTCTCTCTGTCTAAAAAATAAAATAAAATTTAAAAAGCTACCTCTAGCATATATCAAAAGCCTTATCTATACACTTGGGTTTGTTTGGAGGTCTCTATTCTGTCCCATTGGTTAGTACCTATGCTTACTACCACAGTATCTGCACTCTAGCTTTATATTAAGTTTTGATAGGTATAGGACAAATCCTTCTCCTTTTTCTTCAAGAGTGTCTTTCTTAATATTTCTTCAAGAGGTTATCTTGCCCTAGCTGGTTTGGCTCAGCGGTTAGAGCGTCGGCCTGTGGTCCAGAGAGACCTGGGTTCGATTCCCACTAAGGGCATGTACCTCGGTTGCAGTTTGTCCCCGGTTCCAGTTGGGTTGTGCGGGTGGCAGCCACTTGATGTGTCCCTTTCACGTCGATGTTTCTCTCTCTCTCTCTCTTCCTCTCTCTCCCTCCGCTCCATCTGAATAAGGAATGGAGGAATGTCCTCGGGTGAGGATTTAAAAAAAAAAAGTTATCTTGATATTTTGTATTTCCGTGTTAGATTTAGAGGCAGCTTGCCAAATTCCACAAGAAAATATGTTGAGATGTAATTGAGATTACATTTAACCTATATTTCAATTTAGGGAGAACTGACATTTTCATAACATTGGGTGTTACAATCCATGAGTACAGTGTATTTCTTCACTGCAGATCCTCCTTTGGTGTCTCTCAATAATATTTTATAATTTTCTCTCTAGAAGGACCAAAACTATTTTTAGAAAAGTATGAATGAGGAGGCCAAAAAGAGAAGGATACTAGGAAGTGCAAAATGCATACTTCACCAATGTGGTCAGAAACTCAAAGTCAACATATACAAATTGATATTGATATTGATATATTCATTGACGTGGAAACATATAAGATGGATAAGGTCTAAGGATCTAAAATTTGCTAAGAGAACAGAACTTACATATTTTCACCGTGCCATCCCAATAAATGTAAACATGTGAGGAGATGGATGTATTAATTAACTTAGGGGAAATTCTTTTACAATGTATACATATATCAAATCATCATGTTGTACTCTTTAATTATCTTACAGTTTTATTTGTCAGTTATACTTCAACAAAGAAAAATACACATTAATGACATTAAGATTGAAAAAAAACACCTGTTTTCTTTTCTTTGGGTCCTCAACCTTATCCCTGAATGCTGAACTGATTTTCTGTTGTTAGAAGATGTTGGCTTTGCAGCTAGAGCACTTCGAATTTTTCATTTGTGGTATATCTTCGTCACAAAATTTCTCATCTATTCATTCTTTCCTTTGACTTTATGTCTGAGGAAGGAGTGTCTCCATGGAGAGGAAGGTCCAGTGCTAATCCCAGGACAGTTAGGATAGTTGTAATTATAGATTCCTTCCTACTTGGTATATTGTTTACATTCCTCATAGTCAGCCAGTGGGAATGGCTCCAGAAAATGATGCCCAGTTTTCTACTGAAAAAGTAAAACATAAAAATATTTCATTGTTAACATCATTTATGAAATGAGGCTTTTGTTGCTTTGACAGATAAGGCCACTATTTTATCTGAGCTTCTCTGACCTCCTCCTGGGGATATGCTGGCTCATTGAAGCACTTCTCTATGGAACTTCAGTAGCCAATAAGGACATCGTCTGCTATAACCTGCAAGCAGTTGGACGGGTAAATACTACTAGATTGTGACTACATTGCAAAAAAGGTACACTCAGATAAATAGGAAGCAAAAAATAATACATCTTGGGAAGTGGGACCCTTTTGTTTATTGTTACACTTTGAAACAATAGCTTTTATTGCTTTTTCATATTAAAAATTATTACTTGTTTGTTATAGAAAATTTGAAAATTCAGAGAAGCAGAAAGATAATTAAAATCACCCAGACAGCCCGGCTAGAGTGGCTTGTGTTGAGCACCATTCCATGCACTGAGAGGTTGCTTGTTCAGTTTCCCCTCAGAGCATATTCCTGGGTTGTAGGTTTGATCCCCAGTTGGGGAGCCTGTGGAAGGCAACCAATTGATGTTTCTTTCTCACATCAATGTTTCTGTCTCTCTGTCCACCCACCCCCCACTCACCCCTCCTCCCTCCCTTCCTCCCACTCTATCTAAAAAAAAAAAAATCAATGGAGAAATATACTTGGGTGAAGATTAAAAAAATAATAATAAAAAGAATTATTTAAAAAATCATCCAGATATACTCACTCTTTTTATTTGTTTTTGTTAATCCTCACCCAAGGATATTTTTTCCATTGATTTTTAGAGAGAGTGGAAGGGAGGGTAAGAGAGAGAGAGAGAAACATTGATGTGAGAGAAACACATCAGTTGGTTGCCTCTCACATGTGCCTCGACCGGGGCTGAGTTCTAACCCAAGACCTTTGGTGCTTGAGCTGATTCTCTAACTACTGAGCAATACTTGCCAGGGCAAGATATACTCATTTAATATTATATATATATCTTTCCAATCTTCTTCCCTATAAGTATGTGCATTTTAAAATAAAATAATACATTAATTCTTTTTTTCTTTATTGATTTTAAAGAGAGAGGAGGGGAGAGGGAGAGATAGAAACATCGATGAGAGAGAACATCTATTGGCCACCTCCTGCATGCCCCCCACTGGAGATTTGGCCCACAACCTGGGCATGTGTCCTGACTGGGAATTGAACTGGCGACCTCTTAGTGCATGGGTTGACACTCAACCACTGAGCCACACCAGCCAGGCTACATTAATACTTTTTGCAATCTGCTTTTATTATTCAACATATTGTGACCATATTTACATGTAATGAAATAGTCTTCTATAACATCTTTTGAGATTACTGCTTGTTTTTTTATTCTAGGAATATAATAATCATTGGATTTTGGAAATACTGCAGATGATTACATATGGGTTATATATAACCTTTGTGCATTTTATCTGTGCTGTAGTAGATTAACCTACACAGTGCTATCAATTTATAAAGTTTCTTTTATATTTCTGAAACTTCCAGTGTGAAAAAGGAGAGGTTAAAATACAGTATGTACTCACTGCTAGATGTTTCCTCTGGAATTTATTACTAGAGGGGAAATTTCTTTCAATTTAATAGGAAAATAATAGTATGTAATTGGTGGTATGAAATCCATGTACTAATATGTTACCTATCTCATATGAACTCTCATATCTTAGAGATACTTTATTCAGTCCTGCTGATAACCTCATAAATTAAATAAAGTTAAGCCTATATTGTTTTCTCAAATAAGGAAGTAATATTATAGTCTTGAAAGTAAAAAAATCCTGGACCTGATTCATTTTGTAATGTTAGGCAAGTGCTAATCTTTCTGATCTTCAGTCTCCTAATCTATAAAATAGTCATTACAAACACTTACCTTATGCTTGGCATAGGTGTGATTAACGTTACCTTTTTTTTACAACTTTATTGAGCTATACATACTATAAAGTACATATATTTAAAGTGTACAATTTGATCATTTTTACATATGTATACCCCCATGAAGTCATCACCACGATCGAGATAATAATATTTCTATTTTCATCACCCTCCAAAATAATTTCCTTTACCTCATGGAGCATATGAATTTTAATAGCTGCTTTTAAAAATATTTGTTGTATGTTTTCAATATCTGGCTCATTTCTAAGTTGGTGTTCATTGTTTGTCTTCTCCCATGTGAATTGGTGACATGCTTTTTTGTTCTTTGTATGTCAAGTAATTTAAGATTTCATCTTAGACACTGTCAGTGCTATGGTGCATAGACTCTCGATCTTTTTATAATTCTCTGGAGAATGCTAATGTTTTTGTTTAGCAGGCAGTCAACCAAATTAGGTTTAGAATGTGTGTTTGTTTAATCATCTTTAGGCAGTGCTTCAAACCTTAGTCTAGTTTTCTAAGCCTTGCCTATCCTACTTTGGGACTGTAATGTACATCATGGTGCGGTGGGTTAGGTTGAGATTTGTATGGAATCACACAGAATTAGAACATCCTCTTTTTTGCTTTGTCACTTCTGGGATTTCCTTCCACACTTTCCTTCCTGAAGGTTGCCCTTGTTTGGTTTCTGTGGCCTAAAAGATAGGTTTCTATTAGACTTTTAGGTGCCTTAACTGAGCAGCAGATTGGTGTACAAACTTGAGGCAAAGTTGTGAGAGAGAAAGAGAAACTTACTTCTGTGCAGTTCACCTTTCTATGTTTGACTCCCTTCCACAATCCACATGTTCTTGTTTGCTTTTCAGAGTCCTCAAGTTGATTTTTATATTTTTCTGAGTTTTTGTTTATAATTAGTGTGAGAGATGGGCTGTAGAGGGTTTAAGCACACTAGCATATTTAGTTAGTTCTATTTTTTTAATGGTGGTAAAATACACATAATAAAATTTACCATCATTTAAAAAATTTTATTTATTGATTTTACAAAGAGAGAAGTGTGTGTATGAGGGGGGGGGGGGCGGCAGAGAGAAACACCAGTTTGTTGTTTTACTTATTTATGCATTTATTGGTTGATTCTTGTATGTGCCCCAAATGGGAATCTAACCTGTAACCTTGGTGTATCGGGATGATGCTCTAACCAACTGAGCTACCTGGCCAGTGCCAAAATTTACCATCTTAACTATTTTTAAGTGTATAGCCCCATGGCATTAAGTACATTCACAGTGATGTGAATATGAACTGCCATCACTGTATAGCTCTAGAAATTTTCATCATACCAGACTAAAACTCTGTATTCATTAAACAGTAATACTCCATTTCTCTCACCCCCAGCCTCCGGTAACCACTGTTGTACTTTGTATCTCTATGAATTTGACCACTCTGGGTACCTCATGTCAGTGGATTTGTGTATTAGAACATGCAGACCCAGAGAAAATCCCTGAGACTGAAAATCTCTGTAAGCAGAGGTCAGGGAAAGATCAAAGAAAGAAGCTGGCCACTCCAGTCTGGACATTAACAGAGTTTATTAAGAGAAACTTAGCCTGGCTGGTGTGGTTCAGTGGTTGAGCATCGATCCATGCACCAAGAGGTCACTGGTTCGATTCCCGGTCAGGGCACATGCCCAGGTTGTGGGCCAGATCCCCAGTGGGGGGCATGCAGGAGGCGGTCAGTTGATGTTCTCTCTCATCAGTGTTTCTCCCTCTCTCTTCCTCTCCCTTCCTCTCTCTCTAAAAAAATCAATAAAGAAAAAAAAATTTTTTTTTTAAAGGAGAAACTTACATATGAGCCACACCTTGGGTGCCTCCAAAACAAAATGGATATTTTCTACACTTCTTGGCAAGTACCAAAGAACTATGTTGGGTAAAGGGGGAAATAGTCATGAGTACTAGTAGGAGAATGCTACCAGGTTTGGGAAATTACTTTACATGTTTGACCAGGTCAGGACAATGGCCTATTTCAGGAACCAGCATGTAGTGGGAGGCAGGGAAGGGGTGCTAATTTATGTCAGAATGAACATTTATTATGGTTAGACAGTCTCTGATGGGGGATTGTGGTAAGCAATCTCCCTTATGGCCCAGGTCCAGCTCACAGGTCATGGAACAGTCTCTCTTGTCCTTAAGTGTCTAGCTTATTTCATTCAGCTTAATGTCTTCAAGGTTCATCTACATCAGCGGTTCTCAACCTGTGGGTCACGACCCCTTTTGGGGTTGACCAACCCTTTCACAGGGGTCGCCTGAGACATAACAGTAGCAAAATTACAGTTATGAAGTAGCAACAAAAGTAATTTTATGGCTCGGGGTCACCACAACATGAGGAACTGTATTAAAGGGTCGTGCCATTAGGAAGGTTGAGACCCACTGATCTATATTATAGCATGTGTCAGAATTTCAATGCTTTATAAGGCTAAATAATATACCATTGCATGGCTATACCACATTTTATTTATCCCTTCATTCATTGATGGACACTTGGGTCACTGCTATCTTTTGCTTAGTGTGAATAGTGCTGCTATGAACATTTGTGTACATGTATTTCTTTGGATGCTTATTTTCTAATAAAGTCCAACTTACCAATTTTTTCTTTAACGGGTCATGCTTTTACAGTTATCTGAAAACTGATCACCAGACCCAAGGTCTTCTAGATTTTCTCTTGTTTTATAGTTTTGTATTTTACATTTGGGTCTATGACTAATTTTGAGTTATTTTTTATGAAATGTGTAAGTCTTTGTCTTTATATTTTTGCATATGAATGTTCATTAGTTTCAGTACCATTTGTTGAAAAGACTATCCTTTCTCCACTGAATTGGCTTTGCTCCTTTCTCAGATTAGTTGACTATATCACTGTTAGCATACTATGTCTTCATCCATTTATTTTTAATCTGTGACTTTATATTTAAAGTGGGTTTTTTTGTAGATAACATATAGTTTGGTCTTGTTTTTATTTTGGGGAGAGGTTAATTCTCATTCAATATTTTTCCATTTATTTTTAGACCGAGTGGAAGGGAGGGAGGGAGAGAGAGAGAGAGACATCAGTGAGAGAGAGAGATATTGATTGGTTGCCTCCAATACGACCCCGACTGGGACCAGCGATTGAATTTGCAACCCAGGTACTTGCCTTTAGCAATCAAACCTGAGACCCTTTGGTTTGTGGACTGATGCTCTAACTGCTGAACCAAACTAGCCAGAGCAGATCTTGTTTTTTAAAATCTACTTTGATAGTTCTCTGTCTTTTAAAAAAGTTTTTATTGAGATATATT